TGTTACGTTTCGGGCTTTTGGTTTACTTATAGCTTTATTTAGGTTACATACAGCAATGTAAAATGTTTTTCCGCTGACCGGCAGGGATCGAAAGTATAGCCGATACTAGCAATTTAAGTACTCACTTCTGGTATCGAAAATTGAAATTTTGTGTTTATTTTGGTATCGAAATAGGTATCGGTATCGGCCGATACCGATCTTAAAAGTATCGGTATCGGTATCGAATTAAAAATCCTGGTATCGCCCATCACCATGAATTGCATGTCAAAGCATTACATTTTAAAGCAAATTGTATGGATTTTTTTAAAAAATAAAAGACCTCTTCGGGAGACCTATGGTTTTAGCTTGAATTTGAATCTGTACGGGACTGTACCATTCGCTGTACTGTACAGTATTCTGTTCGATTTGAGTTCGTTTCGTTCTCCGTAGAAACTTCTTGTCCGAGAGAAATTTTAAAAGCACGTGATTTAGGTTTTACATTACATAGTTTGAAATTGAAATCACAAGAAAGTGAACACTGTGATGTCATGTAATCTCGAACGGTTTGTGTCAGTGTAGGTAGGGTATTTAAAAGCACGTGATTTAGGTTTTACATTACAGTTTGAATTTGAAATCACAAGAAAGTGAATACTGTGATGTCATGTAATCTCGAACGGTTTGTGTCAGTGTAGGTAGGGATACTACTAGTTTTCTTGGGTGTGAACATCTATGACCTCGAACGTTGTGCTATCATCCATAAAAAGTATTAAATCATCATCGATTACAACGTAATCTTCATTTTCTCGAAAACATATATGCATCACAAATGTAATTTTAAGGCCTCTTTTATTGCTTCCGGAAGATTATTTATAATATGTACGACAAAGGCAACTGGTTCTATTTTACTTCCTTGCGGCACACCTCCATTTATATACTCAAATTCCGACTCTTCATCGCCAAACTTTGTAAAATGAAATCTTTCCTTCAAAAACCTAGCGAACCATCCAAGGCTAACACCAATGTAGCACATATTTTCTAATAATTTACTGAGGTCTATAAAAAATCTAAAAAATCTTCCGAAAATCTGAAAACACTATCCTGATTACCCTTTGAGTCTCATCCACTAGCTTTATGCCACCTGCGTAATAACTTGACCAGAGCTAAAAGTCTAAAACTGCCGATGATCCTGGCAAGCCGCCATACTGGGAGTTGGAAATTTTACCATTAATTTTGTACCCTTGCATAACCACTGCAAAGGATTCTTGCAGCTTTCCCAAAACACAAGTCAAAGCGATTGGTCGTAAATCGTCAACAATGTTACAGGGCGTGATTTTTGGGACTACTGTTGTCCTATACTTTTTCCAAATCAAAGGGAAACTAAGATATCTGTTAACGTTATTGCAAAATTGTTCGCGAAAATTTTCAAGATCTTCATAAAAGGATCATAAGGACCGGGCGCTTTGTTGATGTTAATTTTTTCCTGATGTTCGTGGACATCAGTTCAACACTTAATAATGGTAAATTTTTAGGGCATTGTAAATCCAGTCCGTTCATCCTTAATTAACTTTCGGGTAATATGTTGCTAAGTTGGAAAAAAAACTCGTTTGTATGGCTGGCAGTCAATTACCTATCATCCATCTCATATCCAGTGTCCGGATTCAAAATTGTTACCCTACTACTCTTTTTACCATGTGGCCTTGAAGGCTACTGCGCGCGCTCCGGTAAATCAATAATCCTCTCTATGTTTATCCCCCTCTTCAATAAGTCTCCCCCCCCCCTCCCCCTCCAAACGTAATGATTAAAAATTATCGTCAAAGTTGTAAGAATGGTCGGCTGTGGTTGAACGACTGCTTAATTGACATGTAAAATTTAAAACTACGGAATCTTAATTACCTTAATTACTCATGAGTAATTGAACATAAATGTTATTTTCTAAACTACTAGTAATTAAGCCGGTCCGGCAACATTAATCATCACGGTTGCATTAACGTTTATCACAGTTTATCTAGATAATCCGACAAGCCAATTCTTTTCCTTAATTAACAATAAAATCATTGTTTTGCCCTTTCGGTACTGTCTCTGTCAAATGGAGGTTGTTATGGTTCCTAATTACATATTTTTTATTGGTACAGGGTAGTAATTAAGGATTCTTGCGGAACGTAAGCCCGCGGTTATTTGCGCAAATCAAACGATATTTACGTTTTACCGTCCGCGTCGGCAAGGTCATCAATTAACATGACCTTTCTGCAATAGTAATGTTTTGTAACAACGTATTATTGTAAAAATTGTGAAAATAGTTAATACATAGTTTCTTCAGATGAGATTTTTTTAGTTTGAGATTTAGTTCAATGAGCTCACCAGCATTCCAGAATAATGATCAATGCGCAAGCAGTATTGTCACAACTGGAACTGACATTGTTTAACATCAAAGATTTAATCAAAAGGCCTTTGTGAATTTAGGTTTAATATTTCTCATGTTTTACTTGATATCAAGTATCAGAAAGACTGAACACCGTGATGACATCTGATGTCAACGTCTTTGCTTGACTCCGAGTCTACCGTATATTTCCGTTAATAGCGCAACAAATTTCGCATTCGTATTTCTTATTTCTTACAGTCAAGCAAGGCTGTTTCAGTCTTCAGCACCTTTGGATCATTCAGAATGGGGATCCTAGCGAAGTCATGTGCGCCCTGCGTTCTTGCTTGTCTTATCCTCGTCCTCTCATTATGTTCTATGGGAATATGTCAACAAGGTAGGTGTCATATTTTTTATTCCAAGTACAAATGCTATTGTATACAGTAATATAGCGCATTTTGAAAGAATAATATTGAAATTCAAAGAACAACACGGTATAGAATAGCGCCGGAAGAGATAGTGGTATAAAGTAATGCTGGGACAAAAGCGATAGAAATTATAAATCAGCGTTAAAATCGCCGCGGATAGATGGTAAGATGGACGGAGCATGACTGTCTCATCTAACTAACTACGGGGTGTTGTGTCTTAGTTTTCTTTCAAAATATCTCGCATGCAAATTCTGTTTACAAAAACAACGTGCCCTGTTCGTCGCTCGCCAAGATCAACTGTTTATTTTATCGCCCGCTCAACGCTTCGTTGTTAGATACGAACTTAGATTACAGCGCGCAATGACGTCGTTCGTCATAATTTGAATCGAAACACTCGCTACCCGCGCCTGTCCGTCTTTCTCGAGGTCTCTAGACGATTTTCCCCGTTCAACTTAGTCTCATATTTCAATAAAAATCTAGGCACGTGAGAAATATGAGAATATATATTTATTGTAAAAAAACTTACACTGCATTGTCAACATTGTCAAGTTGGCTGAGTAATTCTGTAATTTGAACTCAGAATTCAATTTGCATGTTCAACGAACCAGCTGTTCAACACGCATGTTGAAACCTTATTATATAATATTGATAATTTTACTGAAAATATACAGTATATTGTCGTATTTACCCAGTTCTAAAGAGTTGAAACACCGCGCCATGTATATAGTTGACGCATATATACACTCAATTCGATCCAATATTTCGCTATTCCGATATCTCGGCCATAATGTGCTAAAGTGTGGATTTGGAATTTGCGATCTTGGTGTGAGTTGTCTCGATAGCTCAACCAGCCCTGAATACGTACGAGGCCAAAATTCATGTGAACACCTAATCCACTTTTGTAAAAATCGTAACAAACAGCTAAAACTTGACTTTGTGTAAAAACTTGACTTTGTGCATATGCCCCACTCCCCCTCTTCAATGCTGCATATCCGCAATCAACATTGACTTGGGGAAGTTGGAATATTTATTTAGAAGCCATTCGAGGCCAATCCTTGTCGGTTGTCCACAATTGTAGGTCCAATAAGCAGGGAGTTGGGAGACAATTTCTAGGTCTATTAACCGTGGCTCCACTACTAAAGGCTATACGTCCACACTATTAAATCCGTTTTCGTATTGTTCTGGTAACCAAATAAAAAATCCTGTGAAGGTTTCTAGTAGGTCTCTAGCCCAGTATCAATCATTTGTAAATATACCATAATTATTATGTTAGGGAATATTGTAAATGGAAAGAAATTAAATAAATAATTAATAAAAAATAAAATAAATTAGACCATTATTCTTTATTCCCTTGTGAACGGAGAACAATATGGTCTGCGTGGCAGGCTCTCTGGGTTTGGGGAATTTTCAATTTTTCATCGCCTCCCCCAAACCCAGAAAGCCTGCCACTCAGGCTAAGAACAATACAAAAACGCGACGAAAACGAATTAGTGTGGACGTAGCCTAATACATATGGAAACGATCGATACATTGCATTCATCCTAGTCCAATTTAAAACAGTGATAATCAAGACAAGCTAGTGCTCACTTACGACGTAGCTGGATATATCTTTCAACTGTCATTTTTTTTATCTATTCATGAATAGACGGGTAAATATTGTTTTGATTTCGCGCACCGAATGCGCATTCGTTTGCCTGCCTGCCTGCCAATATGCGCGCACATGCTACTTTGAATACTCTAGCACTAGCTGTGTGCAGTTACGTCGCAAAGCTATTTAAAATTACATGTCCGCGCATACTGTAATAAGTTCACTGTTGTTTATTCAGGCAGCCATATTGGACAACCCCAGGTCTCCCCAGACCTCTAAGTATCATGCTACACATACCAGGCAAATGTACATAAAATTTGTAAACAAATTTGAGTATTTTACCCGTCTGTGCAACTTGACAAGGCTGTTGTACTGTCGCTGTGTTCTTAAGACTGATAAGTGTTAACATCCATGGTCATTTACAACTGTGTTGCCCTGTGGATATTTCTATATGTGGTCAAAATATCTGCACCACTAACTGTTCAATAGATGTATTTATTACACAGTGAAGGATAAAATCTGATAACGAGTTAAATCTGTATACAGGATAGTATAATATATAATATATTCATATAATCACCTATAATATATTCATATAATCACCATGTCATATATGTTGCGTGTTGGTTTTGCACTGTACGTACGTTAAGCTGGACGCAGATGTCAATGGCGACTTTGAATGGCGAAGGTTTAGTAATTCGCTTCGCGGGATACGAATGCCAGACAATATTCATTACTCATTAGGATAATTCATTCTATTTGTCTGAGAAAAGTGATAGTTAATCAACTTAATTTTCATGCAGTTAAATGCAATTTAACTAAGTTAACAACAAAGAGCGCAGTTAGTGTGTTAGTTAGTATGGTCAGTGATTTCTGGCATACCAGCATGCGCATGGCGATAGTAGGTCAGCGGCTGTTAGTGTTTGAGCATGCGCAAACAACAGGCACGCATTGTTCGGAAATCCTTCTAGACTTGGGTGCTTATTATCGGAAAGTTCATTGTTTTTTCTTATTATTTTTTTTATTTTTTATTTTTTTTGTCCATCCACTGACCCAGTCAGTGTGACAGGTGTTAGGGCCTGGTGTGGGGGCTCATGGCTGGGTTGCAGGGAATTGCAAGCCATGAGAGTGGTATGTTTGTCTGGGGGCTGGCTTTGGAAGTGGAAGCCCCTAGGTGACCCAGGCACCCATTATCCACAAGCGATACAGTTGTTAATTTAATTTAAAGCAAATTAGTGGATTTTAAACAACGTTTATGCAAATGGAGCCGCACGTTCATTTATTTCTGTCTGATTCCCGCCAAATTTCCAGACCGGAGCGTGGAAAAGAATTGTTTACAATGACTATAATTAATATAAAACCACATGAATATGGTGATAAAACTACGTAAAATCCCACAATTAATAAAAGGAAACGTTATCTTTTGTATATTAAAGTTTTAATTTAGGTTTTACCTATCAACGGCCAATTTAAGAATTCTTGAAAAAATCAGTATCCGCGGTGGATAGTGCTATCCGGCTTTCGTACAACCGGCCTCAGGCGTTTGATGACCATTGCTGATATGTACCTCGGATGGTCACGCGAGAGGTGGCCTCACTAGGTGCATGGTGATTTATAAATTTAGCACTTTTATCGTTTGATCCAGGTTACAATCAATTTCAGCTGACTTTTCATCGTAAGATTCCGAACTTCGTTCCGAACTTCGCAAATTCGTTGCGAAGTTCAAAAGTTCATAATGAAATTCACAAACAGGTTCGTAAACTGGGCATTTGATTGGCTGGTTTGATTTAATAGCCAATCAGAGGCTTTGTTTACAAACCTGTTTGTGAATTTCATTATGAACTTTTGAACTTCGCAACGAATTTGCGAAGTTCGGAACGAAGTTCGGAATCTTACGATGAAAAGTCAGCTGAAATTGACTGTAACACGAACAAAACATTACAGGTTACCGCCATAAATTACCTTTTTTGCTTCCCCGCGGGTCACCTGCTATAAATAAGTGGACGTTCAGTTGTAGCTCCAAAACGACACGCCATTAATTATACTGGCATACATTACCTTCCATCCAGAGGACACTTCAACCTCGGTCCCAGGGTAAACGAGGTTGAGGACACTTCTAATAAATGGACATTTGAAACGTTCCTTGTTGCTGTCCGTTCATTAGATACTCAACTATTATTTTATCGAAATGCTGTATGAATGGGTGCCGGATTTAGAAATGTAATTTTATGCAGTTCAGAAATAACTAGCGAATCATCAGCAAAAACAATCCATCTGCTTTCGCTTTCGCAAGGAACTCATTCTTAGTTCCACTTGCGTTCCAGTCCCACCATCGTAATTAATTCAACTTTCTACGAAAATCAACTCCGTATTCTGATTGTTGGCGTTACTTTATTACATTGTGTTTGCAATATAAAATTAACACGGGGTATCTCTCAACCAAGGCCATATATACCGTGGGGAGAGGGGGAGGAGCAAGTTCCCCCCAGCCCCATGTTGCGCCCCACCCCAAGTAAAGGTTCCTGTTGGTGTATACCACCGACAAAATTGTTGATTACACGCACACACGACTAGCAATTCAACTTGCCAACAGACTTGCTTATCTGTACCAAGACTGATTATATTTTATATGAAATGCATAAAAACGGTGTGTAGCGTATATAAAACAATTAGAGTTAAAAGAGAGACGATAACAAACAGCTCCGGTGTCAAGACCTTCAATACGTGTAAGCGACTCTTGGAGTCAGGGGCGTAGGAAGCGGGGGGGCACGGGGGGCACGTGCCCCCCCAAATTTTTTTAAAGGACTAAAAGTGCCCTTTTTTGTGATAAAAAGTGCCCTTTTTGTGTTGAAAAGTGCCCTTTTTTGTGAGGAAAAGTGCCCCTTTTGTAGAAGCTAATGTCGCTGTAAATACTAAATTAAAAAATAGGTGCCGTTTTTGTGTGGAAATTTACAATTTTTTTTTAAAAATTAGGTCACAAACATAAATTTCGGTATGATACGACGGAAAATTTTCCTCAGGAGAAATTTCTCCCCCCTCCCCCGTCGACAACATTTCCGGGAAAAATTTTTTAGGTGCCCTTTCCGATAGTAATGTGCCCCTACAAGCCGGTGCCCCCCCAAACTCCAGGTGCTTCCTACGCCCCTGCTTGGAGTGATTAATATAGTGCCAACCCTGTTAGTATCACTATATTTTTGGATCACTTCAATAGTCGCTAGAATGGACCTAATATGTGCTTTTCCTTACTAGAATGCGACACTCCTGTCGAGCTTGGCTTTCTTGTGGATCGTTCTGGTAGCATTAACAAGCAAGACTTTGAGAAAGTAAAATCGTTTGTTTTAACGGTCATTGGTGGATTCGATGTTTCAAAGAAAGGAACACATATTGGGATCATCTCGTACAGCTCGGATGCAAAAACTATCATTAGTTTTAACCAGTTTGATGACCCAAATTTTGATTATGGAAAACTAAATGATACCATAAGAGATGGTCTTGCTTCTCCCGAGGGTGGAACGACAAGGATTGACCTCGCTTTGGAGAAAGCGGACCAGGAGTTGTTTTCAGATATCACCAAATATAGATCTTTTGTACCTAAGGTACGTATGCTGAGAAATATTTTAATAGGACTATATATAAGCACGGTTTCTAATTTGGAAAACACGCATGTATGAGTTTAATTTTCATAGTTTGTCAAAGTTATTAAGTTACACGAGCCGAATGTACTGTGTGTCTTCAAATCGCATCGGCAACCAGGCATGGACGCATGGTTTCAAATATTCGCCACTCTGCTATATGTAGGCTGCGTAGCAGCTGGTATTTTTATTTTGAGGGAATAACTGCGGGCGGGAAAATTAAGATCGAATTATAATCACGATGTAATGATGTCCAAAAAAAGGGTCGTCAAGTTTAGGGTTAGATTAGGGTCAGATTAAGATTAGTTTAGTGTTAGAGTCGGGTAGTCAAAGTATAAGAGTTTAAGAATGAAAACAATTCATGCAAGTAAAATTATGATTTGCACCAAAACGAGGCTATAGTCAGTTGTCTTTGCTCAATCTAGCAGAAATTCCGGGTTTTTAATTTAATTTCTCAAAGACAATACAAGGTATTATATTTCTATTTTGTAAAACTAATAGTCTTTAAGTATTCTATAAAGTGATTACCTTGGTCAAAATTAATTTCGGGAGAAAAAAGATTGCCAACCATTTTTCGAAACAGTCTATTGTAAGATAATAATTTCGTCAAAATACTTTGGCAAAAAAATTTTACAAACCGTCTTCTTATTAAGAAGGGTACAAAATCTCAGATGGTTATTGGGATAACCTGTTATCGTTGTGCATGCAGTATACCTGGCATTGACATCAAGTTGTAGCTGGAGGGAGGTGTGCCCCCAACACTCCTTCCTGGCTAAATATTTTTCTTTTCAGATCCTGCTAATTTTAACTGATGGCCAACAAACGAGGGAAGGAGATATTGATGCTGATCTCTCTGCAGCCACCAGGAAACTCAGCAGAAAAGGTGTGGAAGTGTTCGTTCTAGGAGTTGGAGATTCCGTGATTATTCCTGAGTTGCTGGAAATTGCTGCAGATAAAGATGAAAATGTCTACCTCGCTGATAATTTTGATGAATTAGAAACAGTGGTTGAAGGTCTAGTCAGTTCATTCTGTAAAGGTAAGATAAAATACTAAAAGAAAATGAGGTTTAATTACGAGTACATTGATAAGGTGCAGTTCATTTAAAGTCTTTGTATACGCAATTTTTTCGTATTAAAGTAAGAAGAAAAGGGTAAATTAAAATAGGAGAAAAGTTATGTTACTATAAGCAATTTCACCGTTTTGCACGACTAGCTATGTTTTCCGCACCAAGTAGTCGATGGTACTGTATAGACCCATTGCACTGACGTCACAAATCCTTAGAGTGTCCTCCAGATGCTCCCTAACAATCTGTTCGGGTACAACAACCACACACAGCGCATAAATTAACCATTTTAATACAAAATTATTATAAAGTTTTACAAAATTTGCTTTGTTTACAAAAGTTATATTATGGATAGATTGCTAATTTGTCCTCCAGATGCATCGTCACCGCCTCTGTGACGCCATGCGCAATGGGTCTATATATAAGCAGCAAAAATCCCACAATCACAGTCCGTGCTTTATCAGATATAAAACATTTATATTTGATAAAGCACTCCTGCTCGTGTTTTCAATAGTATTTATTTCATGCACGCAGTTGTCGGTTAAAATGGTTTCGTCGCAGTCACATCGCCTCCCTCCAGCTCCTTTGCTTTCTACCCCCTGCTGTACTTCGTCCTGCACTGGACTAACAAGTATATAATGGTTAACCTATACTCTGTATAAAAGCAGTTAGTTTGTAGTTCATATAGTTTTTAGACCTGACCAGTTCAAATAATGTTTTTATAATTTAGTTATAAAAAAATTGCGGTTGCCATAGAGTATTTTAATAAAACACAAAACAATAGACACTCCGAAAATTGTAAAATTTTTGGAGTGCCTATTGTTTTGAATTTAGTTATGCTTGTGTTATACTAAAAATATCCCTTTAATTTAACTCAAAACTTTCATCGTTTACTTTCTAGTATGCAAGCGAAATGTGGACATTGCGTTCTTAATTCCAACTGTGTCCAATACATTACAAGACGTTAAAGTAATCGTCAACGCCATGTTGTTAACATTTGGCATCAAGAAGTATGGTGGAGTACATGTCGGTGTAATAACTTGTGCCGAACAGGGCGATGTTATATTAAAACTGAACGAAAATTACATAAGGGCAGAAATCCAAGATATTTTAGAGTCACTGCAAATAAAAGGAAGCCAAGTGGTTTTAGATAAATGCTTAAGGGAAGCAAGTAGTGACATGTTTGATGTCAAAGGCGGTGTAAGAAATTCTGTGGATAAATATCTGATTGTGTTTGATGACGGTAGTTCGTTGTTTGTCCAACCAGCTGTGAATAATGCAATCTCAACTCTGAGAAGCCAAGGTATAACAGTCATGGGAATGGCAATGGGCAGTAATCCCGCAGCTGAAACCAAGATGAGAACTATAAGTCATGTGCCTGAAAGCGTTTGGTTGAAGTCAGCACGTCAAAGGGAAGTTCAGAATGCCGCATTTTTTGCTCGATCCGTATCCGAAGTTCTCTGTAAAGGTAATATTCAATCGCGCACATTTTTCATCTTACACCTGCAGTAGTGTTAAGTAGGTTTTGATCGCGTTTGCGCATAACCTAGCTAATAACGACCTAATTTAGAAAGCTTGACCGAAAATCACTAACAGGTGGATAGCGCTATCTGGACTTCGTGCAACCGTGAACGTGCTTCGGTGACGAAGTGGTTAGCGCACTTGCCTTTCACCTCCAAGGTCGCAGGTTCAAATCTCAGTGAGAACTTTCTCAATGCGACTCGAACCCAGTCCTCATGTGAAAAGAGCAAAAAGTCAACGCTCTGCCGAAAGTCGTGGGTTTTCTCCGGGTACTCCTATTTCCTCCCACAGGGGAAGTTGACAGGGTGGGTTAGGTAAAAGGGCCCACAGTAATTGGCATATGCTGTTGTGGTGACCCTGCCCTAGTTGGCAAAGCTAAATAAATAAAAATAAATAATATAGCGGAATTTATCAGGTTGGATATTATATCACCTGCATGCCGTACAGATAGATTGTCGTTTCTCCACACGCGACTGTATATTTAGCCGAAATGAGATATGAATGAGTGCTTTGCTTAAGTAGTACATACCTCTTTGTCTCGAGCGGGTTTCCAACTCTCATCTTTGGATCAATTCTAAACCACCGCTCTATCCATAGAGCTATCGAACCAACGACGCGGTTTCGAAACAAGTTTTATTTTCATGACAATTTAAAGAAAAGAAATTGAAAATTTTGGGTAGCTTTCCACATTACTATTTCGAAATAACGTCACAATGATTTTGATGAGGGTACTGTATTAAAATTGAGGTTGTTAATGTGGAAATTGACCCAAATTTCAAACGAAGAACTCCCATAAAATATCTTTGAAAAATACCAAATAACGAAATATAAGGGTAATTGTTCCGCAGGGTTATCCAGGATCGCAATTAAATCCCACATTTTTTTCAATTCTGCCATATACATGTAGGTAAATCTCAGAACTGGCTAACTTTCCAACTTTATTGAATTTCAGAGAAACCTGGAAAGTGTCCATATACAGACGAATCAGAACCATGCGAAGGTGACGCATCTTACGATGAGTGCGATTTAGATTCGGACAGAGCAAGACCTTGTCTTGATGATATGATTTGTTGTGAAAATCCCTGTGGAAGGAGATGTGTTTCACTCATGCCAGGTAAGTATTAATCAATATGAAGCTTTATGAGATCGACAACCAGTGGCTAAATGAATGTAATCGCGAACAAATTATATCACGACTATGACCTGACGGGGCGGGGCTTCTTATGCAATAGAAAGTTTGAGCAAGATAACGAAGTACGAAGACGTATATACTTGACAATTTTTGAGTAAGACATGCAATTTTTTGCGCATATAGAGTTTGGGGTCACAGGTGGTTGCTCAACGTGTCTTCCGTTATGGATTCATGTCTCACTGTTTATGAATGCTTCTCTAATCACCTTACACTCACCCAGACAAAACAGCGAGACATGAAACTATATCCCGTCTTTGGTATTCTGCCTTCGTTCAGAACCAAGTTCACAACGAAGAACGAAGACAAGATTTTGATTCATCATTCATGTCTCGCTATTTTGTCTGGGTCAGGCAGGGTAAGGATGTCATGAATCTATAACCTATCTTTTTTGAATAATCACCGCTGACCATAAACTCATGAGTATGTGCAAAATAATGCGCAGACGGGCACCAATTGTCAAGTACGTCTTCGTCGTCGTACGTCGTGTCTTGCTCAAACTCTCCAATATTAATAAATAACTAGATTAACAAATAACCAGATGCGGTTAGCGCGCTAGAGTTTGGCGCTCAGTTAAACCTGCTACTGTCAATCGACGGTATAATTAATTATTATGTCAGGTGACTACCATCATAGCATGCATATTCAATATACTCGGAAACCATTGTAAGTATAGAGGCTTCTTCGGTGTTCCTTCCTCGCCAGAACTTAACCCATGCTTCTGGCTCGGTTGAATTGGGCAACCACATCCTATGTAAACGACATTGAATAAATTAGAAGTCGGAAAAAAACAACTATCGCTTTTGGAGTTATAACAGTTTGTGGGAACCGTTGGTTCTAGAAAATCATTCAGAAAATTTTGGCTTAATTGTCTCGAAGGTTGAGTATATCCATCAAGCAGTGATTCAAAGGCACGCAAATATGTGCTGGATGTCTCGATGAAAACAATTACCCCCAATTTGTTTAACCTTTTTTCTGTATTTCTAGATTGCTTCAGCCCTGTTGAAATAGCACTGTTAGTAGATTTATCTGGTACCCAAGGGGACAAATATAAGGAAGATATATTAGAAAATTTGAAAAGATTTTCAAAGGAATTAGTGCATGGTTTTAGTATTACTGAGACTACGGCAAGGGTCGCAATAGTAACATACAGTGATGAAGCGAAAGTCAATAAGGATTTGGGGAGTGGACAATCTTTCCGAATGGTTGCAAACAATATCGATGGCATAAAGTTGTCCAACAAACCAAACAGGAATCTCGAAGAAGCTTTGAGATTTACCAACGAAAACATATTCAGCTTGAAAGGTGGACTTCGCAAAGTATGTATCAAAATTATACACAAGGGTATTATTAATGTCTACTTTATATCTATTTTAGTTATTTTCAAGGGTGGGTAGTAGCGATTTTCAAGTACTACAATTTTCAAGTAGCCAGTAGTTTTTGACTACTTTTTTAAAACAGTAGCTGTAGTTATAGCGAACTACATTTTGCCTAAAAGTAGCCAAGTAGTTGACTACTTTTCAAACAGCGAATCGCTATTCGCTACTTTTTGAAATTGTTAGCACCTTGATAGAATAACGTGATATTGAGACACAGTTTGCTTAAAATCAATACTCAATATTTCAAACAATTCAGCCTGAGCTAGTAGATGCTCCAAATACAATAAAACTAAAAAATATAGCGTAGCGAAATAGCGAAATAGTTCGCTACATTTTTTAAGCAGTAGCTGTAGTCAGTAGCGAACTACCTTTGTTCAAAAGTAGCAGTAGTTGTAGCTGACTGCATATTTTTGAAGTAGCTGTAGTTATAGCGAACTACAAAAATTTTGTAGTCAACCCACCCATGGTTATTTTTGAAGTTTCTCATCTCTTCGTGAAGGTCCCAAAACATTTCACAATCTGCATGGTCCGTAAACCATTTTAACAATCCCTTCGAACGTCCATTAATTTTCAGATTGGGCGTCGCGTTCTGGTTGTTCTTTCATCTGGTGAACCAACAAATCGCGAAACCAGTTTATCAAGTGTTACCAGAAGCTTAACAGATCAGGGTGTTGAGATATGGGCAATACATGGTGGCGCGGATACTTCAAGTTATTTGACTGAAGTGGTTTCACAGTCTTCATACCTTTTGTCTTCATTGGATGAAGATCTTGAAGATTTTCAGAAAAATTTCGTCATGAGTGTTTGCTCTTGTAAGTGGATAGTACTACTCGTATGCATCAATATAAATAAATTTCAATAATGAGTTACTACTTCGTGTAAAGAACACATAATTTAATTTGAGGTAATTAAAAGTACGTATAGGTAAAACAGTCAGATGGTGTTAAAATAAGGGTTAGGGTTAAGTTAGGGTTAGGGTCAGGGTTATGACTATCTTTTATGATTACACATATGCTACCTTATAATTTTCTCAAACTGTAGTCTTACATGAAGCACTTGCCAAAAAATGTTATAACTACAACCCCAATTAATAAATAATTAATTATAATTTATTATATGGCAAGCATCACTTCCGGTGAAATGGCTGACTGTGATTGGCTGAAAAGCACTTTCAGCGGTCCATTATTTTCCCGTAATGGACCGGCGGTTCATTACGTAAATACAAACGCATGCATTTTAAAACAAAGCAGCAAAACTAATTGAAAATTTGAAAATTATAATTTAGTTTTGTTATTAATAAGATATCTGCGAATGGTTTTAAGTGGAAAGGAAGGAATACATTGGTATTTTTTGTTCAGTCTTCGATCAAATGTGTACCACGCTACTAATATGCATTTCAAATCATGCATTTATTGTTTGTTTCAAGTATAAATGCCTATAAATGTCATATAATAAACTTTTTATTAACCTTGCTTGCTCGGTATGTACAGAGAAATATCGGACCTCGGTCTTTTAGTACAAACCTCACCATACGGACTCGGTCTGCACAAAAAAGACCTCGGTCCGATATTTCTCTGTAAATACCTCGCGCTCAGTTAGTAAGAAATTATTAATTAGTAAACAAAATGCGATTCTCGTATAATTTAATTTTGAATGTATGAATCAATAGCGTTTTGTTTCATTTCATTTTATTCTTAAATTTTGACTTATCTAAGCTCTTTGTTTGCTCATAAATTAATGCCATATACTAGCACCAACATATCTAATATTAAGTTTTCCATTGTTTGTCGTGAAGGAAGATTGCCAGTATGAAAATCAAACATAAATAATACTGTATGACGAAAAGCCAGACTCAGAGTCTCAGAAATTTTAAATGTTCATTCATTTCATTGCCCGTCTTCTTTATAGCTAAAGAAGGAATTTGTCGCACTCCAGTGTGTCCGCCCGATGGTACAGATCAGTGCAGACAGGACTATTTGTGTCCTGGACAAGAAAAATGTTGCCCTGGTACATGTCGTAGTTGTGTGGAAACGAAAACCGGTATGTCTGATTTTATATTGTTAATAGTCGAACTGATAACTAAGCAGATTATCAAAGAGGAACTAGCCAGTAGACATATCGGTTGGTAAAACAGAACAGCACATGAGAAAGATAGCTGTCGGAGGCTAAATTGTCCAGTTGACCTGCAGAAATTGGTTACCTGCTGTTGCGATGTCCTAGACTAGCCACTTTTTTGTGTATAATGTATGTTGTTAAAACAAGAAATAGCTGTTGTTTTAGCAGTACTAACATTTGGTCTAACTCGTCTAACTACAATAAGACTCAAATAAGTAATATTTCAAATCCGAAAATGAGGAACCCATCAACTAAATTTTTGTTCCGTATAGTAATGTACCAGATTGTACATATTTGTCAAATGCAAACATTTGAAAAGCATTCAATAAGTAAAATAACTCAGCGGCAACAAATGTTCGGTTTAGTGTTGCACATAATTATCGTTATATATATACACTTTTAATAATTTATTTTTCGTTCATATCTATTATATCTCAACATCAGACTGTAGATACCCGATGGACCTGGCATTTATCGTGCAAAATTCTATGAGCGAAAGTGATTTCAATGAAGTAAAAAGTTTCATGAAAGACGTGATGGATGCTTTGGAAGTTGGTAGAACTAATACATACATTGGTGTGATAACGTTCAACAAAAATGCCAAAATAGACCTGGAATTCTCGTCTAGTGTTGGTAAGTGAGGTTATCGTTTGTATCTATGCACGGGGATTTAGTAATAACTTCAACTCCTGCATGAGTATTACGTACGTTTGTCTTCGTTTGTAACAGTTTCTTTTAGATTATAGGCCTATAACAAAACCAAGAATGGACTAATGCTCCTCTATACCCTTTTGTAAAAGATACGTTTCACATTTTTGGTATCCCAGCAAGACGTGAGAATGTACACTTACCACATCTTATATATACTGTAAATACTGCAGGTATAAGACACTTCGTGTTTCATCTGCAGTTTTGTTAAGATTCGGGAAACTTATTCAACGGACCAAAAACTAGAAACAAAGCCTCCTACCTGGTTAGTCTACCTAAACTGCAACTGAGTTGCAAGATGGGGCGCTCGATTAATAATAAAACGTGAACATCTACTTTCAGTTCTGTTGACATTGCACTTATATTTAAAAGTCTAACCAATAGATTGTCCATTATTTCAGTGAGCGGAGCAGAAAGGAAAACGCAGGTGTTGTTTGACGCAATTGATAAGATAAGTGCGTCACGTGATCGTTCAACTACTGGAGCTATCGAAGCGTTTGAACTGGCAAGAAATCGGCTATTTACTACAGACGCAGGATCGCATCCTAATGAAATTCGGGTAAGTTAGATTTATAGGACGATTCGTGTTGGCATTGTGGTAGCTTTAAAATATCTTAAAGAATCACAGTCAACCGCGATGCTTTGCGCGCTAAAATGTTTTGATTGTTTTGTATTCCGCCATTTTATTGGCCACTTTAGTGACGAAAGATTGACATCGGAAGCGTGTCCTTATAATATGGTGTGCGTGTGTGTTTATTTTAGCCAATGATTTTAGAAAGTTTTCTCATTTTATAAAATAGATGGCTGATCGCCCTAATCATGACTTCTGTATTTCCCATTCGTGGAAGACCAACAAGTGAGGGTATATCAAAAAGAATATCGTTGACAAATTCAACGTACGTCCTTTGGACGGAAAGGAAGCCTGGAAAACGGGGGCTTTCGCATATTCCTTTTCCCAAAGGAGGATTTTAACATTAGGGAGTTTAAGCTTCACGTTTCCGGGAACGGCTAACGGCAGGTTCGAATTTTCTTGGCAAAATTTTCGTTGAACGTTTTTGTTTTATATTTTCTTTCTTGCGTCGAAAGAATAATTATGTATTTCAGTTTTAAAACAGCAAGTTCACTTACTCTTTATTGCCTGATACTGTAAAATTTTTCTTTGCCTGGCGTTTACCGTTTGACGTATAACGCGAAGCTTAACTCTCTAATCTCAGAAAAAATGAACAAAATAAAAAAAATGAAAATGAACTATTTTATTGAAAACTATATATATGCGAAAATAAGCATGATACTGTAAGCTATTGCACGAAGTTGTCTGGTAATGAGATGATGAGGCTTCAAGGTTTCTCATATGGAAGTTATTTTGTCAGGTTTGTCGTTTTGCTCCTGTTAATTAAGCTCTTTCTGATGGTGTAATCTATTTTGCTGTAACTGAATCGATAGCTGAATAGGTGGAGCGGCAATCTAGAAACTCGATGACGCGAGTTCGACTTGTTTCGTTGTTCACATTAATTAAATTGAACGACAATCTTTGACAATTTATATTGGGACAATCTAGTTTTTACATGCATTCAGATGTATGATGTATCAACATTTTTTGATACACTTATTCCACTTTCCCTCCCCCCAGATTGCAATGTTGGCGTATGTCTTTTTTGTGGGGTCACAATAATTGGGGGGGGGGCCTAGGCGTTTCAAATTATGTGAAATTATAGTGTATGTCCGATCCCATAATTTGACACTGCAAGAAACCTTGTACCCAGGCTCTCTCCTCTACGCTCACTGCAAGTGGCAAGCGTAGAGGCATTATAAATATTTCGTGCGCTAAAATTGGAATTGCTTGCAATGCCCGATTCAATAGCTGAATAGAAACCCAGTTTGTACAAATTCAAATTCCTCTCGAGACTAGGAATTTTTCGTTGCTCTCTGCAGTGTCATTTATGTGAGTAACAAGAAATAGTTTCGCATATTTCGGAAGATAATTCTGCTGTAAAACTACAAGATTCAAGAATTGAAAGTGGGCAACCAGTTGAAGTCTAAGAAACGTTTGGCGCTTTTGTCTGTTTTTCAGTCCCAGATCCGAATAAAATGTTTAAATTATGCAAACTAATGCATTTATCTACTTTCAACAAAGTTCATTATTTGTTGTCGAGTTAACAAAACCTGCAATGCATGCACCTACTACGTTTTGTTTTATGTTGAAATTTCAGAATGTGGTCTTCATATCAAATGGAAAGCTTGACCAACCCGAAGAAATGACAGGAGCAGCCAGAAACCTACGTGCTGATATTTCAAACATCTTCCCAATTTCCCTGACAAACGATATTGATGTTAATACCTTGGAGAAGATAGCGGTGCCAGATGGAGAGAAGAATGTTTATTTGACAACATCGTACAGTTCTCTTGATCAATATAGAAACAAGATAGCTGTTGATCTGTGCAAAAGAGGTAAGAAAGAGAAACGCTGTGAATCTGTGTTTTAACAGATGTACGAATTTTGTTATCCTTTTGTAGCCTCTCTTTTAGTAAAATTGAAGCCAAAAATATTCCAGTGGTTACCCCCATTTGAATAGATGGCGGCCATGTTGGAGTTTCCCACTCGCTAATAAACGCTTAAAAAACAACAATAACTTTCATCATTTGAATAGTTTGAAAATGTATTTGGAATAGATTTAACTTAATGTATAAGTTCCCTGTTTAAGAAATAGAAAACATACGAGTCTTGTCATTTCTTGGGAATATCTGTCTGCAATCACGGCTTCAATTTTTGTATTGAAGAATAATTAGATGCACTATCTAGTGTATATAAGATATCTATGGGTTGGACACACTTGTCACACACCAGCTTATGCATGACTAACTTCACGTATGCTGATGTTTATAAAAACATCACAAACTTCTTTTCTCCAACTTAAACCAGATAACTCATTCCCATCTTCATAACAATGATAAGTCCTGTAAGGAATCCAATTTCTGGATATAAGAAACAGAACAATTTAAAGCAATGCTTTGGAATGTGGGGAGGGGTCTTCCCAGACTACGTGTTGGGCAACAAATGAAAATTCGTCTATCTTTTTTAGAAAAAGATTTGTTTATCAACTTTTTAATAATTTTACCTTATTTTTTCACAAATAAATTATAAATCGTCTCAAGCTATCTGCAACCACAGTATCTATGAAAGGCAATCTGGCGTTTCACAACTTATACTTTCCTGTGAGAGGTTCAGATTTTGACTTCCACTACCGCTACCGTTACCATTAACCAATGGGATGCATTTAATCTACCCGACTAACCAATCAAGTGCGTATTAAACCTGTGAGAGGTAGCGATAGTGGAAGTCAAATCTGAACCTCTCTGTTAATTGTTATGAAACTGTTTTCCATGAGCGTCACAATAAAATATCCGTGAATTGCGAAGGAATACACCTTCAACACAGACAACATGAAAAAGCCTGCAGTTTTCATCTGTACGGATAAAGTATGGATAAACGGAGGAATGAAGGCAATGGTATAAAAAATTAGCTCAATTAGAATAAAGAATCAGTCATTCATACGTTCCCGCATTCTTATTTCCCGCGTACGAAATATATTAGTACAAAATGGTTTAGTTCAATTTGTAATTACAGGATTTCTTGAAGCCAGTAGCAAAAACCATTTATTAGCAAGAAGAGCACGTGATTTACAATTTGATTCTGGTTTTAGTTCTGGTGAGTAATAAGCTGCAAGTTGTAACGCCTTCACATCACATATTTTATTGTGACGCATTCGCCTTTTGTCACATGCAAATTCATTTCCGACATACACACATACTTTAAATACCGTGCTTATAATCAGGGCCGTACGCAAGGGGGGGGGGGGTACGTCTGCTTGACAAATCGCATTGTATAAACGTTCGTTATCCTAAATGATGACTGTCCAATTCTTGGTTGCTTTTACGTATTTTAAGGTGGTAACCTAAACAGTGAAGACGATCCTGTCGTTTTGGTGAGTAAATATGCTTCTTATGTGCTTTTTCAATAATATCACCGCCATCTTGAATCATAATGCATTGTGGTTTATCCAGATTTAGTAGCGTCTAGCCTAGTGTGACGTGTTTAATTACCCTGCTTGATAATAATGAGTTATTTTCATGCAATTTTTTGTCAGTACAGCAGGCTCGTAATTTCAGCGGATTTGTGGTGAGAAAATGAAAGTTTTACATAACACAGAGCTCGGAGCTGGTAATTTTGCATAAAATATCCGCCGAAGTGGGAGAAAATGCGCTAAAGAACTTTTAAAGTGACATGTGAAGACCTTATGTTTGGTTTTCGAAATGTTTCAACCAAAAACATCGTGCAGTTCGCTATCTTTGTACTTGATGGTGTCGCAACTGGGTAAAAAAAATTTTTATACTGCTACATATCATCATGAGCCTGAAAATGCAGCCACCTTCAGTCACCCAGACAGTAGTTCTAACAGGTTAATCCCGGTTGTGACGTCACTAAAACCCCAGTTAGTTAAGTAAAATATAAAATCAAGATGGCGGACTACACGCCGTGTTTCTAAAACCAAGCAAGATGAAAAGAAGACTGTAAAGGGCCTTCATTCAGAATTTTTAAAATTCTTTCAAATGAGACAAATGCCGAATCTAATGTAAATGACGAAATGTTTGAACTCATTTGCATTAGACTCCGCACATGAAAAGTTCGATGTTATAAGTACGAAAATTAATAGTTAATACTTAATAATGATTAGTTAATACTTGCGTACGCCAATAGTATCTGTCAAAGTATATAGGTACTTTAAATAAATCATTAATTAACGAACTGTAGATATGCAGCATAACTAATACAAACGAACGAGATAAATAACTACCAATCAATTAACTTACTAACTAACCTACCAATCAATTAACTTACTAACTACTTGCTAGTAGTTAGTAAGTTAATTGATTGTAACATACGAATAGTAACATATTCACTGCTCGTGTCCGTGACCCTGTAAACTGCACCCATATAAATAAAGTATCGCAAAACCAAAAGAGTGCAAATTCACATAATTTAATTCGTGTGTCCTTGAGTAATACAAGCCAACCCAATAAAACTAACCAACCTAAAGAACTTGGTCCAAAGACCAAAGTCAGATGTGAATTTGTACCGGGTATTGTTCTTTCAAACGTTATGTCGCTTGCGCCGAAAATTGACGAAATAAGACCATTGGTCCTCAATGCTGCCGTGGACATTGCTGCATTCACCGAAACGTGGTTAAAAGACTCAATCTTAAACACAGTGCACGTGGTTGATATTCCTGGGTTCAAAATAATTAGGAAGGACCGCAAACACACTATTCATGGTGGAGTTTGTATCTACGTTAACAATCAGATAAAAACCGGTATTTTGCACGAGTTAGATAACATACAATTTGAAGTCTTGTGGATCAAGCTATCACCTAAACGTCTACCTCGTGGGATATCAAGCATCATCATAGGAACAATTTATCACACGCCAGCGTCTGATGATCAATCAATGATCGAATATCTAACTAACTGCTTGACTAGCATATTGAAGCAACGAACTCAAACAGTGGAATAATCCTAATGGGTGACTTGAACAGATTATACACCTCTCGCATTAGTCGCCAATTTAATCTTAAACAGCTGGTAAAATTCGCAACCAGAGGCGAAAGAACATTAGATGTCATCCTAACAAATCTCTCCAAGTTCTACGGAAACCCACAAAAACTCGCACCTTTTGGTCTTTCTGACCATTGTACAATAAAAGTGCTTCCTAATACCAAATCCACAACAGAAAACATGTTTTAAGTCATAAAATCACGGGACCTAAGGCAAAGTAACAAAAACGCGGTAGGCAGAACTCTTTCTGCTGTGGATTGGTCATGTCTAGATAATGTTGTCACTTGCGAGGAAAAGGTGTCAATCTTGAACGATATAGTCGTGAACACGATTTATACCATAATGCCTATTACGGCAAAAAAGATCCATATAAATGACGCACCTTGGATGACCACTAAGCTCAAGGGCGTTATTAGAAAACGGCAAAAGGCATTAAACAATGGAAATCAAACCGTTTTTAACTTGGAACGGAAAAAATGTAGACAAACGTACTTCCACCAGAAAATCAAAAGCCTTAAATACACTAAGCCTAAAGATTGGTGGCGATTTATATTTTATCATGCTTACAGATCGAGGAATTGAAACAATTGGATAAGTTTGAGATTGCCAATCAAATTAATGATTCATTCCTTGAACCATTACAACGTTTCCAAGCATTGAACTCTTCAAATTATGTCAATGCCTCGGATGTTTCGAATATCAGCGACTTAAATATGCTGACTGTTTCAGAGTATGAAGTTTACAGATGCTTAAAATCACTTGATTTTTCTAAATCCACTGGCCCCGACGATATCACTTGAACAGTTCATACGAAGAACAGCGCCTACCCTCATCATGGAAAATGTCTAATGTTGTCCCAAGACCACACCGGTTGAATCTGTTAACAAACACCTCCGCCCAATATCATTAACCCCAATCTTTCAAAAGTAGCCGAAGAGTTTGTAATTAGAATCCACCTAAAGCCTGCAGTTCTTGAAGTTTTGGACGAGAATCAATTTGGTGTAATTTCTGACTCGTCGACCAGTCATACCCTGATCAAAATGCTACATAGACGGAAACGGATCAACAGTTCGGGTCATCTTCTTTGACTATAAAAAAGCATTTGATTATATCGATCACACCATTTTAGTATCAAAACTGAAACTTCTACGTATACCCGCCACCACTCTTAATTAGATAATAGATTTTCTCAAGGACAGAAAACAACGAGTTAAAATGGCAAATGATTGTTTCTCCGAATGGAGCAATGTGCCGGCCGGAGTACCACAGGGGACCAAACTCGGCCCATGGTTATTTGCCATAGTGATCAATGACCTTAGACCACCACAAGTAGATCAAGCCAAGTTTGTGGACGATTTAACCATCTCAGAAATAGAAATCGTACCAAAAAGTAACTCATTAGCAGAATCCAAGAATTCGTTACTAGTATTCAATCGTGGCCTGATACTAATCTTTTCTCCTTAAGTGACGAATTAAAATGTAAAGAGATCAGAATTGACTTCAAGAAAATCAAAAGCGAATTTGCCACAGTACGTTATACTTTTAAATGACAAGCCATTAGAAGTTGTACGGAAGGTAAAATTACTTGGTCTTACTATTCAATCTGACCTTAAATGGAATACCCATATATTGATAATATCATATCGAAATGCTCTAAGCGTTTATACCTCTTGGTTCAGCTAAAACGTGCAAACGTCCCAGCCAGAGATATTATACAGTTTTATACGACATGTGTTCGACCGGTCCTTGAATATGCTTCAAATGTGTTCAATTATTCCTTGCCAACGTATCTTAATGACGATATCGAACGAATTCAAAAGCGTGCACTCTCAATTGCGCACCCAGGATTTAAATACGAAGACTCCCTTGTTATGAGCGGACTATCAACACTCCGAGAGAGAAGAAATAAATCTTGTGAGAACTTTTTTAATAAAATCTTGGCGAACCCTAATCATAAACTTTTTAATCTTATATCTATAAGTAAGAAAATACCTTTTTATAATCTAAGGAATGAAAGGACAGTTGATGTTCCGAAGTTCAAAACCGAACGATTTAAAAACTCCTTCTTAATAGCTAGTAGTCTTATAGTAAATGATTAGTTATTCCTATTGTTGTTAGATTTCCTATAATCTTAATTCATGTATATATTTATACCTCTATTTTACACTTGTAATCACCTTGTAATTCAGTAACTTTACTGCAAAAAGTGCGATTTTATTAAACTATCAAACTAACTAACTATAACTAAACATTTTAGGCATCTCATGCACTCGATAGAACTAATTGTTGCAGGAATCGAACGGATTCGAACCTGCCAGAGGGCTTATAGTTGCATTTTTCGCCACTGCTTTTGGTTAGGTCTAATAAATGTGCAACATTTACACTCAAATTTCGATCAACAAAACCTTCTACAATCACAAACATCATATTCACCTGAGTACACAACACCAACACAGAAAAAAAAATCTTCTACAATCAGTTATATTGAGTGAGATGCCCAAATCCTGATATTTACACCATAGTTAAAACAATATAATCATTATCCACGTGCGTATTGTATTTTTGCCCAACTGATCAATAGCAATGTTTTAGAGAAGTTACCTATCCGTGACTCGAACAATAGGGTATAAATTGGAAATTGCTGTTGGTGGATTTGGCAAAAATACAATACACACGTGACGGCGAAGGATCATATTTACGAATAAACGTTGACTAACATGGATAATGAGTTGTATCAGTATTGTTATTCTAACGAGTTTCCAAACCATCTATTTTATTAACTATGTTTACACATACACGTTACATTGCCTTAGTATGAATACATTAACCCGCGTTTGGAGCTCGTCAACTGGACTCTGCAGCTCAGTTGGTTAGAGCGCTGTACCGGAGCCGCAGGGCCCAGGGCCGTAGGAAGATCGATAATTGGGGGGGCTCATATTTATATATTCATGCTTACAGACAGGGCCGC